GCGAGTATATTGCGGTGAGAGGCCAGTCCATCATGTTAAGAGGATGGGAGAACCATTACACCTCTGGATAAACGTGAGAAGCATGTGTGTGAATGTGTTTGCACATGAGTGTGTAAATGAGAATGCACTGAGAAGGGCCCGCTGGCTATAGACTTGGAAACCGAGCTCCTATGAAGCTTTGTGTTCACCATTCCAGTTTTTATAATGGGACAGCTCTTCAGTTTATAAGCAGTTTTAGCTCTAAAACATCATTATGTCTGTTGTGCTATAATTTCAGGCATGGGAAGGCGCTTTGGTGAGTCTGCTAGCAGCACAGATGCATTTATACCAGGGCAGAAAAACAAAGAGCCAAACATTAAATTGTTAAATTGGTGCCATTTGACCAATCAAAGATATCACTTCGATGTTACCACACACAAGCACACTTGAGGTAAAACTGAACATTTTTTTGCAGAAATCCATTACGAACATGGCAGCGCAACAACCTGTTCGACACATAATGGGAGGATGAAAATGATCAAAAACATGTTGGAGAGCATGAAGTGCTCTCAGCTTCAGAAGAAACCTTCTACTCGCATGAGAGTGAGTGAGCGAATGAAGCACACTTTCCTTTCATCATTACATTTTAAGAACAACCCAAGGCCTGTAGCAGATGCTTCGAAGATAACATCTCATTGACAAAGAGCTGCTGCTTCTGTCTGATTAGATCGGCTTGAAAATCTTCCTGTGCACTTCATCTTTCATTACAGAGACAAATCCATCTGTGCCATACTAGCATCATCAAGGAGATAAGTGAATGATCTCTTGTAGAATCTCAAATTATTTCCACCGTCATGACAGACTATATCTGAAAAAGGTGGTAGAGGGGTTTAAAAGCACAGAATACACTTATAGAGGTGTACCAGGGAGGGAATACATGAATGGGGAAAATCATGATGCTCTAGAAAATAAAATCTCAATTTGTTTTCTCGTGAACAAGCATTCACATTTAATTAGACATGCCTGGAAATAAGTTGCAGGATCATGCATATACTTTTCAATGTTTACAGTTACTCATGCAATTGTAGAAATGCAGTTGCATTTGCATTATTTGCAGTTGATCTGAATTAATTTATTCCAAAAGTGTCCAAAAATCAGGAACTACTGAAATAAATCATTCATATAATATGTATATAAAATATGTATATGAGTAATATGCAACATTTAGCTGGTCATGTGAGCTTAACATAGCGCCCCCATGAGGCAACCTACTATACAGAAAATATGTAGGCAATTGACAATTCACTATGATTTTAAACATTTTTAAAAGTACAATTAATGTATAAAAAAAGTACAGCTAATGCATAAGTTTCTTACAAACGCACATATTTTCACTTCACGAGATGTTAATTGATAGAGTGGAGTCATGTGGATTATTGTGATGTTTTTATCAGCTCTTTGGACTCCCATTCTGACGGCACCCATTCACTGCAGAGGATTCATTGGTTAGCAAGTGATGTTATGCTAAACTTTTCTAAATCTGTTCCAATGGAAAAACAAACTCATCTACATCTTGGATGGCCTGAGGGTAAGTTCTTTTTTCATCAAATTGTCATTATTGGCTGAACTATTACTAACTATTGAAATGAGGGGAAATCATCTTTGAGATGCATAATACTGCAATTCATATGAATAATTTATTGAATATTTAAAAAAATACAGTGACTATTGATAATTATTCAAAAAGAATGTGCTTGCTTGATTTGCGTGCAGCAGAACATATTACAAATGTAATTAAAAGACAAATATTGGCATGTGTAGCGCGCACGCCAAATAATTAGGCGCTCCACTGAGGATACGGCTTAAAAGAGATTATCCTAAAGGATAGAGCGAGTTAGACGTGGGAGTAAAATAGATTTTCCAACTTTCTCATAAGTTAAAAACAAAAATAATTGTCTGGCAATGATGAGAGCAGCAGTGATGTTTGATAAGTCGGAGAGCTACACTTGCAGGAGTTTCCCAGCCGTTAGCACCCACCTGCCGTGTTTTAATTGTTTTTTAGGGAAACAGACTTTAAAAAAAAATTGTAGTCCGAATTTGATGACTGAACACCATCTGCCTGCTGTAACACATGCCAGTTTCTCCTGTTGTCCATATATAAGACCACAAATATCCTGTATTCTGTCAGCCAAATGTAAGTCCCTGGTGCACTGAACAAGCAAATTAAAACAGCATTATTTATTTATTTACTTATTTTGATCTCAGCTGTTATTTTATTCCCACACAAACTAAAGAGATCACAGGGAACGGAAAGAAGAGAAAGGAATAGCTTGTGCGCTAATGGCTCCAACTAAAACTTGATTTCTATTAGCCAGTGCACTTACACTTTTATTATTGAGAATTTGACTGTATGACTGTTTACAAAAATGTATTTTTATGGTATGCTAATCATGCTCGCCTATTTGCATTCAACAAGGGGAATGACGCTAATTAGCTGTATTTCAAATGATTATATTAAAGCACAGATCCCAGCCTCAGTCTTTCTTGTAGGCTACAAGTATTATAGCAGTGGAGCAGGCAATGCTGATGTTAAAATCTCTAAATTATGCATTATCTCTGTGAGCCAGGTGAAGTCATCAACAGTGCAAAAATATGCTAACGGTGCCATAGCCTTAGCAAAATATTGCTCATGTTTTTTACAGAGAGAAAACAGAGAAAGAGGGAGGGAAAGAGAGAGAGAAGAGGAGTATGGGGAATACAGATTGAAAATAATGAGGTAAAACAGGCTGAATACTGCAAGTCTAACTAGCCACTCTGCTACTGTTCCTTCATTCAATTGTTTGCTTGTTAATGCGTTTGGTCTTTCACTCATTCGTTCACTCGTTCGTTTGTTCCTTCACTTGTCATTCGTTTGCTCTTTCATCCTGGTGTGATTCTTATAAAAAAAGATGGATATACTTGGCAGCTATAAAGACTTAATGGTAAGAGGAAACAAAATGGACTCAACAGGTCAAGTGGGATTTTAGCAGACCAAGACGTGAAGAGCAGTAAGGTGATTAAGCTGTTGGATCTCTTGCCCTGAAATCCTGAGCTGCATGAAATGAAACTATTCTCAATGTTTGAAAGTAAGCCAACGGTTCAGCTTGAGGACTTATAGCTGGCCGGCAGGGGTTATTGAGGCCTGACTTCAATCTGAAGAACGATACTGTTTGCATAATTTTCTATAGTATGCCAGACAGCTGTGCTACAGTAGAGACTTACGCCTGAGGCCCGTAGCCAAAGGAATAATCTTCTGGCAAACCTGCACATGGTGGAATAATAAAAAGGCATTTGGGGGCCTCAAATTTGTGGGAAAGACTGTATATCTGCATTATGCTAGCAGGTCTACAGTATAGCTTTTGTAACATATTACAGTATGTCTGAATGACTTATGTGAGCCCTGTTTAATCAGGACTAATTAAACACATTATTGTCATTTAAGTTGAGCTGTTTTAACTTGACACAGCAATTTAAATACTAACAAACGTACAAGATGAAACAGATATATAAATATATATTTTTTCAATATTCTTTCATAAAAGGAAAGTTCAAAAGAACATCATTAATTTGAAGCGTTGTGTAATTTTTTACTGTCACTTCTGATTAGTTTAATTACTTGCTGAATTAAAGTATTACATTTTATTTTTTTAACTAACCGCAAACTTTTGAACATTAATGTACTTGGACCAACATACAAAAAATAGCACAGACTGAATGACGAATGTAAAGAGTCATTGACAGATATTGAACAAATAAACTAAATAACTGTTGAACAAAACAAATCAGTCTACACAAAAAATTAAGGCCTTATGGATGAGCATTGCCATGAACATTGCTCAAAGCAGAACATTTGAAATCTGACAGTAACTGTGTTGAAACGTATTGTTCAAGTCGCTGAATTTCTAACAGCAACTCAAAGGAGAGGAATTTAGAGATGCAACATCTCTGAAAGAGTTTGATGTGCTGACAGTCCAACAGCACACTAAAGACAACACGCTGTCAAAATCTTTTCAGAAAATGTGTGTCTTTAATTTCATTTTTCAAATTCAAACACCGGCCCTAAACATATTAGAGCTAAAAACATGAGACTTCTAGCCATCTTCAGTAATTGACCATCCTTCTTTTCTATTTTGTCTTCTCTTCTACAGTTATCTGAGGAGCTCCAATCAACACTGCCTGTTCTCTCAACACATTCTGTTTTTCCAGCTTTCACTCTGGACAGAGAACTCTAATTGGAAATGCATGAAGCTGCGTAAAACCTGCCGAGAATCACTCTACTACACTACTTTTTCTGGTCTTGCATATTCCAATCTTACATATTTATTGTTTTGGTTTATAGTTGAGTGGTTTGAGATTAATTATTTGTTGCACATGAATCCATTACGTGCATTTCTACATGCTCTCAGCAGGCAAACATGGGTCTTTTCTAGTCAATACTGAATAGGGCACTCAGCAGGATAGGCAATCACTTCAGATCAATGCTAATGTTTTTAGAGACTTCGGGCGAGCTTTGTTCGAGAAAGAAACCACTATTTAATTCAGTCAGAGTATATTTATTATCAGCATTAATTTATAGGCTCAGTACATCTCATCCAACTGACTGCACCGTCTTTTCTGCTTCAGCTATTGTTTGAATAGCAAAGATGCTGTGCAAAATGTCTCCTCAGACTTCAATTTCAAACGCTTTCTTCTTGGTTTTTAGGAGCCTATAAGACACACCTCACTGAGTGCCTGTATTGGGCTGTTCTAGTTCTTTTAAATGCTTCGGCATGGAAGAATCCACACTTCATTTTCTAATTCAAGGTTCAATTTCTTGTAAAATCGCCATTTGACAGCAGCTCTCAGATCTAGCGAACAGAAGCGTTTTATTTTGCTGTGTAATATCAGCACTCGGGACCAGCACACCTTCCTCCAAGATGGTTTAGAAGGATGGAACGACTGAAGCAAAGGTCAGATGGTGTTAAAAGGAAGCCTATTCTTACCGTCCACTCACTACAAAACACACCACCAGGAAGATAAGGAGCACAATGCCACCGGCTATGGACACCGCAAGGATTGTGGACTGGTTAGGGTCCCCAATGGCCAGCATATCTAAAGATGGAGAAAGAGAAAAAGAGACACATTTGCATCAGTGTTAACCCTCATGCTCTGTTTTTGAGATTGCTTCGCTTCCCAATGAGTTCCTCTGACTTTATCAAAACCCACAAGAAAGATATTCAGGCATGTGATCAGCTAAGGACAAAAGTTCTTATTTTTAAACATGAAAATAGCAACCAATCAGCAACCTCGGGAAACCCCTTTCAGCAACCATACAAGGAAGGAAACCCTGCATCACAGGAAAGCAAGTACCTCCAGATTCTAACTGAACTGGTGCATTTAATATAAATTTTAACCTAATTGAGGAACTCAATGCGAGGGTTAATTAAGTGATTGATGGTTGTTCAGATCTATGCAATTGCACATATTGCTGTAAACTTGGGATTTCACATTTTCATTCTCGTAAACTAATTATTTCCTCACTTTCTCTCTTTCTGCAACTTGTGTGTGAATGCGTGTGTTAGATTAGTTTATATGTCTTAGATTTATCCAATAAAGCCTTATTTATATTGAAAAGAGAAGTATCTTGTGTTTTGTGCTCACAAGTTAATGTCTTAAACTGCCGATCTTGTTACTATGCTAATTAATAGTTTTCACTATATTTTGGATATAGATATCCATTGCAGAATTGATGTCATACGGCTCGTTCACTGACTCGCTGGCCGTCTCAGTGATCAGCCGTAAAACAGTGATTCTGTCCTAATTCCCTTACATATTAATGGTGGCGTTCCCTTTAAAATCTTAAATGATTCCCTTTGAGCTAAATTGACCTGTTTCCCTTACACTTCAATGTCAAACTTTGCTTTGGTTTCCTTTGAAAAACCAGAACCAGCTGCATCTGGCTACTAAATATGTAGACGAAGGCGGGAGTCAATTTTCTAATTTACGCATGCCATCCAAATAGGTATGTTAACAGAGGGAATAACAGGCTCGGTTTGAAAGTTTCATGGCGAGTATATGGATTTTATGCTGCCGCAATCGACTCATTACTCAAAACAAATACATCATTTATCAAGACCGGCAACGCATGAGTAACCGCCTCTTTCAGGAAAATGAATATCTCTAGCAACATGAATTGATTTAGAATTCCACTCAACTCCATTCAGCAATCTCAGTTATGCACCACGTACAGAAAGAGATCGCAACTTTCTGAGTCAGGACCAGATGCATGAAATATGCTAAATAGGAATTTCTCTCTCTTTTTTTTTTTACAATATAAATGATTTTTGCCCTTTTTGACAGCTATTTTGACAGGACAATGAGGGATATGATCGGAAAAGACATTGAGAACAGAGGCAAGCATGGTTCATGATATACAAAAACTGGAAACCTTCACAATCAATTTGCATTAAACATGAAAATGCCATTAGTGCTGCCAAACGATTAGTCCCAATTAATCGCATCCAAAATAAAAAAAAGATTTGTTTACATAATATATGTGTGTGTACTGTGTATATCTATTATTTATATATAAAAACACACATATATATGCATATATTTCAGAAAAATATGTTATGTTTGTATATTAAACATATTTATATATAAATTATATGAGTATATATTATATGAAAATGAATATAAATATATGCATGTAAATATTTTCAAACTATATACTGTATGTGTGTGTATTTATATATACAAAATAAATATACACAGTACACACACATACGTATATTATGTAAACAAAAACTTTTATTTTGTATGCAATTAATTGCGATCAATCGTTTGACAGCACTAAATGCTATTAAATGCAGATTAAATTTAGCAGCCCTAACTAAAATAAATAATAAATAAATTACAACTATAGTACTCTGCAAAAAATTTAAGTAAACTAAAACTAACAATAAGTGAAAGTTACTAAAAACTCCTGGAAAGATAAGTTGAAAGTAAAAGAAAAAAAAATCACTATTATAATAACCTAACCACTAGCCAATGGTTTCATAAATTGATTTTTCTATATTATCAGACTAAACATATGCAATTTACAGTACTGCCTGTTCTGCTCTGGTGTGTATCGTATGAACAAATGCACATGGTGTAAGGCGTTTATGAATGTCACTGTGAGCCAAAGGCTTAAGCATTTCTCATATAATTAAAAGAGCAATTACTATACTGGACTCCGTTAACTTTCAGCTTGGCAGATCAGGTCTGCTGAGCTCTGTGATATGCTTCCAGAGATGCTCGGTGGGCCGTAACATACTTTAAATTAGGTGCATGTACCACAAGGTCTCTGTGTTTACCGTATGCCCCAAAGCCTTTTAAAATGTGCCTCCATTCTTTGATCCCTATCAAAGGAACATTGACTCAACACAGCCTTGTTTGTCCTCACTAGACATGGCGACACACACCGTGCTCGCCTCCCAATGAGCATAAGCAGGAGGTTTGGTAAATAAGTCACACACCAGCTCACCATATTCAATTCAAAAGCAGTGTCCTGAAACTACCAGCATCTGCTCAACAATGGAAAGAGGAGC